TCATGGTAGTTAAATGCAAAAACGTGTCTCTTGCCTGCATCTAACCCTACAGTTATGTCAGAACTCAACTCTCTAACCACACCGAAACTAAGTAACTTTCAAGCATAAAACTAACTTAACGACTCCGGATATAAATACCGCGCATCCCTACGTGCGCTTGCGCATGGTAACGACCCAAAAACGATAAAGCCATTAGCATAAACCGCGTTTATGGCTATGGATAATCGACATTGTTCTGAACGCGTTGTGAATGGATTAATCGGTTAAGATTTCTATCAGCTTTATGGTTGTACAAGGATTTGTGCATTGTGGCTCTATTAAGTGCAATGCATGTTGTTTGTTTGCATAAATGGGTTTAGTAACTTCCGCCTTGTTCTGTAACCCTTCAACCTTAACTTCGAACTCCTCCTATTTCTTCTGATTAATTTCGTTGCGAGTCCAATGACAGTTAAACTTTCCCCCGGGACAATAAACTTGACCTTCACTGGTTGGGTTTTTATTGGCGGTCAAGCTGTAGATCCTGGCTACACAGGAGTTGCAGCGGTGGGTAAGAGTCGTGGGAATAGTCCCGTAACCCTTCAAGCCCTGCGAATTGTTACGCGGTCATATGCGACCGCTTGGGGATTGATGGAGTCTGTCCCATGGCATATTTTCCTGTTTTCTCCGAAGTCCAATATCTCTATACCAACGTTTATCATAATTGTTATAGTTAGATCATAATCGATCTAGGCGCAAGAACGTTATTAGATATCATTTTCGTCTAGACTACAGCTGTCATCCTTAACAGCTGATAAGGCTAATTTATACCCACCATCTGTTTACTATACTAGCTTCAAAATAAACCGCATCGACACGAAACGGGGATATTTTCTGGCCAATAGCCAAAGCATTAACGGTCAAGGTGAATGTCAAAATATAATACACATGGATTGCTTGCAAGTGGTACGAATATTCCCACGTCCATTCGTATTATGTTTCTAAAAATAAATAAGGAATATCGTCACATTGGAGTTTTGTCTTTAGTATTATTTCTAGTTTCGTCTTTTGCTTGCTAACGCCCGTATTCACAAACATTACTATGAAGTCTCACAGTGCGCGTGGACGCACAGGGTGTTTCGTAATCACAAAGCTCTATTCAACGCTGTGCGTTCGATTTGCTGCTTCAATTAAGCAAGCATCGTTTGTGAATACGGGCGTAAGTTTACGCAGAGAGACAGTGGTTTTTTATCTTCTTATGGGTTTCAGTTCTTATTTTTGGTACACCTAGACTATAGTCAGTTACCGTGTTAGTATAGAGAAAGCTTTGTGCTTATCCTAAAAGCTGCAGAAAAGAAAACCAAGCGAAAAGTTGGCTAATTTCGACTGGGGTCAGTTGGAGAATTGGATAAATCGAAGATGATCATTTTGCTTTCTAGCTTTGTTCTTTTCTTCTTCTTCTTATCGTGTCGACAACAAACCTACACAGTGTCAAAACAAGAGTGGCGTTGTCAGCAGCATTTCTTAATTTCTCCTGCGTGCAGTTGCTCGGGCACTCAAGGCACGACATCATGTGCTTCTTCGAGTGGGGAACAAAACCGCACCTGCACTCCATGTTTGAGCCATCCAAGAATCCTTATGTTCTTCTCTTATTCCCTACCATTCACACTTAGTTATTATTATTACTTTGAATCATCCAGTTCGTTATGCCAGAGAAAATATTGACAGTTTTTGTGTTCGAATCTTACAATCATGGACACTTTAATTTCAATTTCTTTTGTTCATTTACATTTAAATAACCCGTGTAATTATTTATTCTTTAATTCCACATTTTCCACAGTCGGGAAAGCGTATAATCGCTTTGATGACACTAATTATAGATTGTGTCAAATTGGTCATGGTGTTTGACATCTAACCACGCAGATAGAAAGCCAAGATTGTTGATCGTTGACAGTTTGCTTTTTAAATGCTTTTTGTTTAAATAGAAGAGGGGCCAGCAAATATATGTCGCCATGATGGCTAGCAATTACCATAACCTATAGCAATCTGGCACATGTTGAAGCCGTTGAACGATACAGACCACAAACAATTTGAAAATTTCTTCAAAACAGAGCAACTAGCTGAAAATGTAGTTTTCTGTTGTTAATTGTCATCTCATCACTTTCACGGTTTAAAAATAAAATTGCTTCATCGACGAAGAAAAAAATTATAAATGCTTCATAAATAATTAATAATTTTAAATCCCTGTTATGTATTAAATAGAGTTTCTGAAAGTAATTGAGCAATATCATACACTTAGTGGATAATAATCTAATACAAAAGATGCAAGAACATCTGAAGCCGATTAGTAGGTGTTATCATCATCATCATCTCTATCATAGGACGTCCACTGCTGAACATAGGCCTCCCCTAATGCTTTCCATGTTGCCCGGTTGGTGGCGGCCTGCGTCCAGCGCCTTCCTGCTACCCACGCTGCGTTTTCCGGTACGCGGCCTCCACTCCAGAACCTTGCTGCTTCATCGGCCGTCAGTTCTGCTTACTATGTGCCCTGCCCATTGCCACTTCAGCTTGCTAATCCATTGGGCTATGTCAGCGACTTTTTAGTAGTAGGTTAGCGGTAGCATATTTCCAATGACTCTGACATACAGGCCGGCGCCAGAAATCTTATCTCTAGTTCCTTCGCGGAAGGATGTTAAAATTGTAAATTTGCAACCAGCAACTGCTGTTATCGCTTTAGGAATACATAATGCAAATGTTCACAGCAATTATTTATCGTTCTAACTCATAACTAGGTCAAGGTGGCAGATATGAAATAACTACGATAACTGTTCAGCGAATATTATTTGGTTAAATGTTAAGACAAGGTTTAAACTGTTTTAATCACAAGAATAATCATATTTTATGATTTGTCTTAAGACTTAGGAAAAAGGATGTACCTACTTACTACGAACGACATTAATTAAGCAAAATAATTGTCCATCTCATGTAGTCGAAGAAAATTGTAATTCGATGACAATGAATAAAAAATTTTCTTCGTCAAATGTGGATTGCACTAATAATAAAAACAGACAAAACAATTTTAATTAAAACAAAAATACTGATAACTAAATGCATGAAATGCTAAGTTCGGTAATAAACTTTTTTTTAATAGTTTTCAGTAACAAAGCAGCATCAAAACATCATTCTAAATTCAAATCTGATTCTGGCCAGATTGACGTCAGTCCAATAAAAAAATCAATTTACGGCCAGTTAGTAATCCATGTGTCAAATAAAAAAATAAAAAGACAAGAATGGCCGGTGGGACACCTGCCATGTGTAAAGATATCTTTGATCAAATTAGAATCTTTGATCAAATTAGAAGCCGATCGATAGAAGAGTGATAAGCCGACTTTTTAACACAATTTGAAGTTGAAAAGTTTTTAAACTAGTCCATGTCGTGTTAATTTATAACATTAGAGATGACGTAGATTTTACTCTCGATTAAAAAGAGATAGAATTTCCTGGGACGTGAAGGTAGAATTTTTTTTTCAGTGGACTTGCCGTCTCTACAAAAAGTGCCTTAAATCTATACCTAATTACTGCAACTACGGACTTGTTATCAGTTACACAGGTAAATGTTAAATGTTTGTCCAAACATTTGGTGACAAATTGGAAAGGTATCGCCAACATCAGCCGATAAGGCGTTGAACACAATAGATGGGTTAGCACAGCGGGCGAGCAAACTGATAATGAGACGGTGTGCATCAGCCTAATATTGACTGACGATCGACATTTCATATTTTTTGGGTCCGTAGGCAGAGTTTTACACTTTACCAGAAGTTGAAAGTTAAAAAAAAGTTCAATTTTAACTTTTAAGAAAGAAGTTATTGAAAATGTTGCGTTTAAATAATCATTTTACGCGTTCACTTTCAGACTAACGTGAGTTAGTTGACATAAGTGGTTTCCGGTGAAAGTGAGTTTAAGTGCAAGTAAATTATTTTAAGTGTGGCATGTCGCAGATTTTCTGTAAGTAATTACTGGGGCAAATCGGTTTCCGTATTTCTAACATCTAAGCAAGAGTGACAAATAGGGCAGAAAATACTAAAAGCGCCTTACTTGCATACAGATTATTAAACTAGTGTTTGAATTGCATGATTTTTGCATTTCTTCTCGTTCTTATTATTCTTATAAGATAGATAAAATGTTTATTTTCAAAGCAAAAAGATTTTAAGTGAAACAGACAACGGAAGACAAAAAGGAAGTAGGTTCAAAAAAGTTTATTCTACGGAACTCTCCTTCACATAATCTGAGCTCTAGCGGTTTTTTCGTGGCTTAAGTGTGAACATTCGGATATGGCACGGTCAGTGACATCACCGAACTGCAACTAGAAAGAGAAAAAGAAATAGGCGCCTCTTTTTTGTGAACACTTGGGCAAACAACAAAGGCGCAGGCAAAGAGAGCTCTGCAAAGTGGGTTATTTTACAGCATTATTACTGCGTTAGATACATAGATGACGAAGGCTTATGAAAAAAAAGGCTAGACCAATAATGGAGATGACTGAAAACAATATGGATTCATCGGTTATTAATTTTATAAAAAACAAACAACAACTACTTTGGCAATTTCTATCTTCATTCAGATGAGAAGTAAGGTTCGTTCATTCGTTCGTTTCAGCCCCAGCGGCCATCAGCTCTTCGAGCTATGTGCCCCGCCCGCTACCACTTGATTTTAGCGATTCTGCGGGCTATGTCAGTCACTCTGGTTCTCCTACGGATTTAAGGTTGCCTATAGAAAAATAATCATAGATACAGATACAGAGAGCAAACTAGGGGATAGTATCTCTCTTGGAAGCCACAGCTACATTTCTTGACTCGCTTGGATATGGGACTAATACCACATTTCGATCCCTCCATTGCAACTTCTATGCAGCCAGTCAATGATACCCAGCGAATTTTGAACAGTACAAGGTTTCTAATATTATTCTCTTGGAACTCGTGACGAATTTATACGGAAGAATAGAAAAGAAATGCTCTACTATTGCTTACCGTGACAACCGGCAATCCGAGGCCAATGATGTACAGCATGACGTTGGTGACAGTGGACTCCTTGTAGGGGTGCTTGAGGGACTCATCGTCGCAGAAGAAGCCCCGGTTGTACGGCACGCCCCATAGGTAGAACGCGAGGATTAGGAAGCCAACTGCAACAATGATAAGAAAGAATTAGTAAGTACTGCTAATGTATTTAGTCCTGAAGTCTTGATTCTTAGCTAGTATGCCTATTAGTAAGAAAGGAAGATAAATATTTTTGGTTCATACAAAGCTGATAGATATTAAAGATACAGACGAAAAGTCTGATGTGATGGTGATCAAATTGTTGAAACCGATGCCACGCAAGAAGAAGAGTTAGTGGAAGACTGGAAGCGCATCATCATGATCTTAGAGTATTGATTAATAACATCACGGCCATGGAAAAGAAAAACGAATCAAATGTTAAAAATAAAGTTATATTACACAAAATAGCTCATGAAAGTTCTATCTTAATTAAGTAACAATATCTAATGATAACTATTTAATGATTATGTTCGATTTACAAGTTACGATTTATTTGGGGCTAGATTATTATTTATAGATAGCGCTGTGTGAAATTGTCCAAAGATATTTATTACAACACCCCAAAATACTTAATTACAAGTTGTAAAATAATGATTAAACATTGTAAAAACGCTACTCTAATTACAACCACAGCCCTCATATCCTAATAGAAATGAGGGAAACGTAACACTTAAAAAATGACAGTCACGCAAGACAAATTACTGTAACACATCGACTTAATAATCAAACCTGCTATTAACGACTTTGGAGATCATTAAAAAAGCTCCATTCGGGATGTGAACCGTCAACCTCACGAGATATCTACATCTTCACTCTTAACACAAAGCAATACAGCTCAAAATGGATCTACTTTATAGGTTGACTGTACGCCAAAAAGGAATTTAAATTGGTATAGTGAACCAACCCCATTGAGAAGACGAAATTAACTATTGTTTCACGGATTGTTTCTTGTCCAAACACATCGGGGAATAGACAAAAAACAGCAGGTATGGGGAGAGGGCAGAGATATAAAAACTGTGGAAGCGATTCGATCGTTTAAAATTGACAAGATTGAAGAAGTGATGGGCCAATGGATTGGATGTTGATGAGAATGCGAAATAATTACGGTTTAGAACATTAATTTCATGAAAAAGAATTTACAATTCATTTGTTGGTGAAATATGAATATTTGTTAGTAAGACAAGTGCCAGTGCAAGTGCCGGAAATAATTTGTTCCCTAAAAACGCAAGTTCATCGCCATCAACCAAAAGAAGAAGAAGAAGGTTTGTTCCCTAAGTCGAAGTGAAGTTTGTGAAATTAGGGCTTTGTTGAGTTGCCACGTGTAGAGTTAGAAGCTTGATTCTACATATTGAGATCTAATGTCTTTATGACAGTTGAGCTGGTTGTATGGTCTTATCTTGGCAATTTTTACTCGTGGCCCGGGAATTACTTTGATAATAACACTACCTGGGTCCATGAATTTAAAAACAACGTTAAAGGACCAACAGTAATCATAAATACTTCAACGCAGAAACATTTATATGTTTACCTACTTTTTAGTAAAGACAGAAACGTATCGCATTCTTAGATATTGGATAAACAGCAATCAGCAAAGCAAATAAACCCAATGCGTACAGTTTGTTTAAATGTGGTTTCAAAGTACAGGTGGTGAAAGTTGTATTTGCGATGTAATGAAATTAACGAGCTAACAGATCTTCAGTCAGAGAAGTGTTAAATATTTTGAACCAAAACATTTATTTAGTTAATTGATACAGAGATTAACGCAGATTCATTAAAACAAGATGGAGAGTACAATAATAAGGTTATCTCAAAAGATCCTTTCCAACCAATAACTTTCCTGCAGTACGGGAATATTCACACTTTTCGTTCCCACCGCTGCAACTCCTGTATAACCAGGATCTACAGCTTGACCGCCAATAAAAACCTAACAAGTTTGTCCCGGGAAAAGTTAAAGTCATTGGACCCAACAGCCCAACATACCGCAACAAAATGAAGCAGAAGAACATAGGAGGAGTTCAAAGTTAAAATTTCCTGGAGTAGAGATTGAATAACCTGTTGATGATGATGAAAGTTCGTAATATGGAGATTAAAGAGTATGAAGATAGAAATCTAAACAAAAATATTAGTCTGCAGTGCTGTAATATTTAAATACTATAAAACTTTCGTTTTTAACAGCTCCTAAAAGGTATGCCTCATCCAGGTTTCATATTCCATGACAGTCCAAACCTTTTGTCATGGATCCGGGTAAAAATAACAAACAGTGCGTACGGCGCACATTATCGAGTTACGGGCTGCGCGGGCGCACCACTCACGAGCTCTTACGATAATTGCCGATTGTGATTGACTCACAATTTAGACTTGATCGGCAGGTGGATGATTGGGACGAACTTTGATTATGTTATTTTTATAATTGTCAGTCTATTTTTGGGATGAAATTGAGTTTATAAATATGCCTTGAGGGCTAAACGTTAAAAGGATTTTGTAAAATTTTGGGAGTTGATCTACAAGGACTTTTAAAAGTAAAATACAGAGATGTAGAGCTTATTTTGGTATTAAAATATGCTTTCTAAATAAACCTAAACACAAACGTTAAAATTGTAAAAGAAATATTTATGGGTTAACAAAATGCAAACAGTGGAATCTACCCCTTCATCAAACTTGACCAGGTGTTCAAAGGACACGTCAACAGATGTCTTTACTCAAACGGTAGCCGAAACAGTGTTGCTATTGATAAAAACATCTACAACTTTTTAATAGGACGCTCAAACCTTGAGGAATGTTTCTCGTAAAAATATTTCAAAGAGAAAGACGAGTCTGTTTATTTTTAATACAGTTAGCTATAAAATATTAGAACAACGAAATAATGGCGAGTGGATTGACTATATCAATAAATTAGAAGTCAAAGCAGAATGTATAGAGAAGGATTTAAATCAGTAATAGAATTTATTTCAAAAAAGGTGATGATGATATCCTTTATTTAATTTTCATGATTACACCCCAACCACGCCCGAAACGACCTTTTTATGGTGTTACTCTCACTAAATCAATTTGGTTTAGATAAAAACGTATAGCAAAAGATATTATGAACAAAATTGTAAAATGTCCATTATTTTAAACGTTTGATTACGTATTACATTGGACAGAAGTACAGAACCTTTCATTTATTACTTTGATATCTTCGAATTACTACCTGATTGCAGAATTAGAGTAAATCTTTCGTGCCTTTTTATGGACTTTTATTTATGTTTTGAACTCTAAAAAGCGTGTTAAAAAGACCTGTGACTATCGAGTTAAGATCAATTCAAGAGAATAATGGGTTAAATCATTACCAGTTAAAATATCCATTACTATCCACATATACACGTAGATAATTGATATGTCAACACCATTAACTAATGGTACACCAAGAACATTTACCTTAGGTCAAGAGTTAACCATCCAAAAAGGGACAGGTCAAAATGGGGTCCTTTTAGGGGAAAATTTTGATTTTAGTAATAATTCCAAAACAGTTCCGAATCTATTTTTGAACAAACTTGGTATACAAATTCTCAAAGTGTGTTAGTGATGTTAAAATTGTGTAAATACCTATGTATTATTTTCAATTCTCATGTTAGGTATGTATTCTGTCTGTTCTGTTTACTTTTACTGCATTAACTTATGTCATTTAATCATTTAATAGCTCAGGTATTTACCGTATCATAATTTAAAACGGTTTTCCCTAAACTGTATACATAAGTTTTATAGACAACAACTCTACATTATGTAGCATTCAGTGCCTATCTAGGTATATTCATACAAATTTAAAATTACAAGGGAATTAAGATATCGATGAACAAGCATAATTATGCAAATCACTCTTTAAGATGGATCAAGTGCAGCATCAAAGAAAAAACAAGAGCAACTCCATTCATTTTAATCTGCACTAGTCACTATTTCGAACACGTTTCCAAACAAAAAAACATCGTTCCACGGCCCAATCCAAACATTATCGTAAGAAAACCCCTCATTACCATATCAATAAACACACAGACGAGGCGAGAGCAAATATAATTAGGCAATATAGCGGGCATCACTTCTTCAAACAACAGGTTGGGGTATGAGGAATAGGGATACCAGGAGTTTGGATGCGAATGAAACTGGAAAAAAATACTATTTAGGTACTCCTTACAAGGAGGTGCTTTTTATACTAAAAGGCTCGTATTCACATTAAAAATAAATGTTAAGTGGTCAATTATCTTGTCCAGTATGAATTGACTCTGCCAAATATGTCGAGCGACAGTAAACGACAACAATGTTGTACAACTTAGCACGACATGTATGTATATAACTTGATAAGAATTTTATGTTGGTGATGATACACTACACATCATTCTATCTTGTATATCTATACTTATAATAAATCTGTAGAGAGGTCAATTCTGTACATGAAATATATTTTCAAAATAACAATCAGGGGGTGATTAGTGATCGATACTGATGCCAAAAATGCAATCAGTAAAATTTTTGTCTGTCTGTCTGTCTGTCCGTCTGTCTGTCTGTCTGTCTGTATGTTCCTTATAGAAACAAAAACTACTTGACGGATTTTAACGAAACTTGGTACAATTATTCTTCATACTCCTGGGCAGGTTATAGTATACTTAGGAACTCCCACGGGAACGGGAATTAGCGGGAAAATCCTTTTGTATGAAAAATCTAAACCGCTTAAGTTAGACGCTTGAAATTTGGCATGCAGGTACCTTAGTAAACGTAAAGCTTAGTTACACCAGGATATTGCAAAATTCCCACGGGAACGGGAGTTAGCGGGAAAAAACATTTGTATGAAAAAATCTAAACCGCTTAAGATAGATGAAGGGGGTAAAACGGGATCCACGCGTACGAAGTCGCGGGCGGCCGCTAGTTCTAAAAATAAAAGAGTAATAAAAATAAAACTATACATTTTTGTTGCAAATACGGCCCTATGGCTAGGGTTGCCAGGCGTCCGGATAAAGCCGGACATAGTTAGACTTTTTGATTGCGTGTCCGGCCAAAATAACCGGTGTCCGGCTTGTCCGGCTTTTGTTAGGCCTTTTACATTTTGCAAAAAGCCCTCGCGGCTCGTCGCC